GTTTTCTGCCTTGTGACGTTAATGCACGATACGTGTTGTAAGTGTATTTATACTGTATTTAAAGTGTATTTATATTGCATCTATAATGTATTGATAGTGTATAAAGGTAATATTAAATGCATGTAATTGGAATTTCAAGATTCGAAGTATCGTAAACGTTTATGATAATGTTTAAAGTAAAATAACTATTTTGCTGAAGTCCTAGATGTTATTCTTATATCAATGAATAATTCCTTGTTGGAAAATATAATAAATAAGTACCAGAAAGTGTTGTAATTTTATTATCTTAGTACTGGTCATTGAATTGTTGAGATTTGTAGATTGGATTTTACTCGAATGTGACATATATGCATGTAGAGCTTATACGTATTTTTATTGTGTATTTCAGAATGTTTCTATTTATAAGCATTAAAATGCGATAGAACCGAACCCAGCGACTTTGTCTTATTTTCGACAACTTCCCACCCGCTACACTATGTTAACCTCGTTAGCGAACATTTAACAGCTAATGTACAAGTTCAATATATTTAAGATACATATATAAGTTCCGATTTTTAATTTGGGTCTTTGCATGTGACTGGATGGGGCTTGAACCTGGGGTGACTATAGCCTATTTCAGGGGGCTTGTTGAACCTTATAATTATATCAGTCATTATTCCAATGTCTGTTACGATGTCAATGTCAATTACAGGCTTGTAGATTGTTATCAAAATCTGTATTGGTGACGTCTGTACATAGACCTATTAAATACTGGAAAAGTCATCAACATAAACGTGTACAGCTGCATCAGAATACGTGCACAAGATACCAAACACGGATTAAGGGAGCTAACTCCAAACACGCCAGTTAAGTTTCATTGACATGCAAGTTGTCTCCCTTCTCAAGATATATAAATTTGATTGGACTATTTTACCTTTTTTGACCTACATAACTTCGGTCAGTTTTGTAAATGTTGTCTTAATTTTCTTGATTGTCTATTTAATGATGAAAAGGGCGTAAATGCCAAACATTATTTCAAATAGACATGTATTGTACGGTTTCGCTAAAAGTCATCTTGCTGCATGCTACTTCAATTATGAAGCTTGAAGTGTATGCGACCTTAGCGATTATATAACCAAGACATGTGTTGAATGGTATTTCAGATGTTGTATTAATATATATAAAGTGTTGTAAACATATCCAAGTGTACCCCAAAGACAGATTTTGTCGCACTGAACATGTTACTCGTTAAACCAACAAGCAGTCTGCAAAGTCCTGCAATCTAGAAAATCACCAAGGTTAGGGAACTAAGTCAAACTTCAGCAATACCGGAATTGTCGAATGAGGAATGAGAAAATGAGGAAAGCTCCTGGAATTTTCAAAAAGTGGCAAGTTCAAACGTCATGTACAAAAGGCATACACAAAGCAGCCAACATTTGTCATACCCAAGTTTCTGTTGGACTTTCTCAACCAATGAGGTTGTGTAACCCTCTTCGCAGGTGCTAATAAAACCACATGCATACATTTTACTTGGTAAATTTACATTGTTCATATGCAAAATACGTCTGGTTTGATTGTGGTCCTAATCTCAATGTTGTACATGTACTTGTATAAAACTAAGCGTGTGAGTTATTGTCATGCTTGATATCTAATTGCATTTAAACAACAAATTTTCAGTGATTGGGTTGTGACTATCATGAACTGTTAGTGGTAGAATAGTTGAATGTTTATATGTGTCTCAGTCATCAAAGTGGTTTGAACAAAAGTCAAACAATAGTACAAGTTCAGTTATAAGTATATGACGTTAAACAGTTGCTTTATAATGGAAATATTGAAGTAATCATGTATCAGATAAAACATTGATACCCTTGTGCTAATTGTTTCTCAATTATATGTATATAACTTTGTGGCTACCATGATGATGGAGATTTACTTCATTTCGTTCTGACGCTGCTCAAACAAAGTTATATGAAGGTGCAATACCGTGATGATTTAACGAAAGAGATGCAATTGTTGCATAGGTAATTTTATCAAAGCATTCAAGTATCTAGTGTGCGTAGGAATATCCACAATATGAAACGCGTCTCAGGATTGATTAATACTATCATATTATCTCCCTCAACTCGAGCCAGATTTACCTGTTTGTGTGTCACTCTTCGAAACCTGTACCTGTGAATAGACGGAAACACCACATACAGTCACTACAGCATGAGCAGTTCCAAGGTAAGTTGTATCAACATTTAATTTATTGTTTCTGTAATGATAAAGATATTTTTCAATTAATATTTTTTATGTCTGTAAATGATTTAGAGTGTAGGTATTTGCTATAGCATATTTGGATTGAGGGCAGCTACCACGTTCTCTGCTTAACATTCGTTTAATGTTTAATGTGTTAGTTGAAAAGCGCTTGGACAGTTTAGCGTTGAGCACACGTACGTATTATCTCCCTCACAAGATGTTTCATATCCGGGACTCGAAAGTAGTCATCACAAATGTGTTTAAAATAAAAACATGCTATTAAAAGATGTTCCACTGTAAATGGAGTGTCACATGCGTAGCATGAAGGTGGGTATTCTCGTTTTAAAAGGTACAAATGTGTAAGATGTGTGTGCCCAGTACAGAGTCGAGAGAGGACAACTTCCCGACTGGGAACAGATGTTTTAATTTTCGGTTGTACTATAAAAAGTTTGTTGCTGATTTCGAGAGACCAGCGTTGCTGCTATTCTTTTTGAATGGCTGTACGAATGATAGGTTTAAAATCTGTATATGGTAGTTTGATATTAGTTTGTTCGAGATTTAACGCTTAACTATTTTGCTTTTCTGTCAGCAAATTCGTTGCCTATAATTCCGACATGGCTCGGAATCCATAGTGAAGTAATTTTAGATTTCTTTAAGATACAAGATATGCGAAAAGTAAGGTTTTGTACGAGTGTGTTTTTAGGATCTCGTACCTGTAAACTTTGTAGGACAGATAGAGAGTCTGAACAAATGATTGCCTTTTTAATTTACATCATTTACACATGTCATTTGAATAAATAAAACTTAAAAGAAAAGTAAATGGATTATATATCAGGTTTATTTCGTTCTAGTCTACCAGCAGACAGTTGTTGTCTAACATTGCTGAACGAGGCGTTTTCAGCTGCTAAAAAAGACAAGGTATAAAGATATTTTGTATCATCATATCGACTTTTTGTATTCGAAGCAGTTGATATTTTCTTGAAACTAACCTAAGTCTTGAACGTTGTAATAAAACATGTCAATAAGATGGCATTACACTCAGTTGTGTTCTGCTAGTAGTATAAATTATTATAATATAACAATTTGTTTGACAGAAAAATCTGAAACAAGAGGTATGTTTATCTTTTTTTTTTTTAAAACGAGACCTCATAAATGTTTTGAACACACGAACTTTATACTTAAGGATATATTTGTATATATTTATTCTCAATAACACTTGTGAAAACTAGTATATAACTGTTCTAAACAGTATAAAAAACATGATAATGTACGTATGATAATAAAAATAAGTTTTTCTTTGTCTAGGTCGGATTCAAACATTTTCGCTGACAAATGCTACAACATCAATGGATTCCTTATCCCTTTCATCATCGCCCTCAACGTTGTAGCAGCTATGACAATGTTCATTGTTTTACAGGTCATGGCTTACAAAGGCCATACAATTATTGACCCTTTCATACTTAGAGCGTTCTTAGTAGCACTTATTTCTACGAGTATAGCTATACCAACTTTTTGCTTGGTGTTA